TTTATAAGAAAATATGGACTCTATGACGCATGTTAATCATTTGTTGTCAGAAAACCATTTCTCAATTTTCATATTGTAAAACTTCTGAATGCATTTGTAGTATGAAATTGTTTCAGTGTTACAATCTTCAAAAGTTATGATTTCCTTTATATATCGTAAAAGTATCAGGTCATCCCATAAGTTCTGTCCGAATTTTAACTTTTTGTTAAAATGAACGAAATTTAAAGAGTATTTTATAATGTCTAATAGAACTGAACATTATTTTTATGTTTAGATGCATTTAAACTGATCAAATTTTATTTCAGAGAACAATAAATTTTGTTTGATTAAAACCCTGCTAACATGGAAGTACCCAAGTATCATTTGAGGCACATAATGCTTTATGAGTTCAAGAAAGGAAACTCAGCAGCCGAAGCGGCTAGAAACATTCACTCAGTTTATGGAGAGGAATGTGTGAATGAAAGAACTTGCAGAAGATGGTTTGCAAAATTCAGAGGTGGAGATTTCAGCCTTGAAGATGAAGATCAAACCGGACGTCCAGTTGAGTTTGATGAAAAGCTTCTTGAAGCAGCCCTTGAAGAAAATCCTGCTTTATCAGTTGAGGAATTGGCAGTGGTTCTCAGTTCAAACCATACAACTGTTCATCGTCATCTTCAGCAACTTGGAAAAGTTCCTAAACTTGGAAAATGGGTGCCTTATGAATTGTCTGAAAACAACCTCAAATCCCGAGTTGCCATCTGCTCTTCTTTCCAGTCTCACCAACTTGTTTCACCTTTTTTGGATAGACATGTAAATGGCGACGAAATTGACGCCAAGGAATAATCCACTTTGAATTCTTACCACCTAATGCAACAATTAATGCTCAAATATACTGTCAGCAATTAGAGCGTTTGAACCAAGCTTTGAAGAAAAAAAAAGACCTGCTCTAGTGAATCGAAAAGGGATGATGTTTCATCAGGACAATGCGCGACCCCACACAGCAAGAATCACGTCACAAAAGATCGAAGAACTTGGTTGGGAGAAAATTCCTCATCCACCTTATTCTCCTGATCTTGCTCCTTCAGACTACCATTTGTTTCGTAGCTTACAGAATCATTTGGAAGAAACAGCTTTTGTAACACAGGAAGAGGTTAAAACTGAAATTTGTGAGTTCTTCGAATCAAAGCCAAAAGAATTTTACAGTAATGGAATTAGTAAGCTTGTTAATAGATGGAAGGAAGTCATAGATAATCAGGGAAAATGCATTGTTGATTGAATCTGTAATTAAATGTAACATTTGGTCACTTGTTTTCTTTATTCAAAATTCGGACAGAACTTATGGGATGAACTGATAGTTAATGTGCAAATAGGAACTTAGTAAAAAAGACTATTTTCCGCTTGTTTTATTCAAATTTATGGAAAATAAATGCAGAGCAATCTTCTAGATGAAGATTAATTTTTTAGAATGTTTAAATATTTATCAAAGACCTTTTTTACAGTAGTTAATGTTTTTAAGAAATACAAAACGTTTCATTGAAACTAGATTTGATTACGCGTTTCCCCTTTCTAGGCTTCATCAACTCCAAAAACGAAAGAAAGAAATGCGTGTGTATGCTTAAATAATGAATCATAGTAACTTTTTCCCTAAGCAGGCGTTTCTCGTGATAAAAGAAAAGAAATAAAACGAGTAACTTAAACAACAACAACAAAAAAAACGTTAATATTTATTTTGTATATTTATTTTGTATCTTTATAATTGTTAGTTCATTACCGAAAGTTGTTAATATATTTTCCCATCTTTTTTTATTGAATTAAAGGCAAATCCCCTTCTCATTTTCAGAATGGCTCGAAAGCAAGAAATTCATCGAGCCTTTTCTTAAATGAGTCCAAGACAAATTCTCATACAATCCTTCAGAATGAGTTGAAAGTAAAAGATTTATATGTTTTTTGGTCTGTCCATGTTTTCGATGTCGACAATATATGTTTTTAAAATAGGATATGGAATCCCGATAAAGTTTTTAAGAAATTTGACAAATGGAAAATGTTTAATTAAAAATAGATTTGATTACGCGTTTCGCCATTCTAGGCTTCATCAGATCCAATAACGAAAGAAAGAAATGGGTGTATGTGTAGTAAATGCACAAATAAAAATGATTCTTTAATAATCATCGCTGCAACATTGAATTTTTAGACCAGAAAATGTTGCCTGAGTGTACACGCCAAACGGGTAAAAAAAAAAAACGAGAAAATTCATTTGTAAAGAGTAGTTTTTATGCTTATTTTAACTTTAATTAAGGACGAAAACTATAATAAAAATTTAAACTTCTTTTTATTAAAAAAAGAAAAGGGTAATAGAAGAAAATATTAGGTTCATAATTTAATATTTTTGAATCCACAGTGAGACAAAGGTAAATCCCTTTTTACGAGCTGAGGCAGATAGGATCACGTGGAGAAATTGAGTTGCCACCACAATCGTCACAACTAACAACACCAAACATTTTTTTTCTTGTGAGTTGTACTGAAAGATCTTGTTTACAGAATCAAACCTGAATTAAAACAAACAATTTTTGATAGAAATCCGAAATTAATGTAGAAATTAATGTAGAAATTAATGTAGAAATGCCTCAAATGCTTTATAGAAGTGTTCAACGTTGTATTGAACAGAAAGTGAAGCATTTTGAACATGTTACATTGTTTGTTCAGTCAGTCAGTTATGTGCCATGCGTGATACACGCTTAGGTGATAATGTATCTTCCGATACATGACTGACGAGGCATATTTTTTTTTCCCGCAGATTGCCATTTCTTTCTGCGGTAGGCCAGTTTAAAGACTATAGAACCCGGTCTGTCCTGCCTTTTACCCATAGCTTGGGAGGGGGGAGAAGAAGAGGATTCATACCTTTTATATTTTTTTGCAAAAAACAGAGGAATTAATAAGAAGAATGAGATTCTTCCTACGAGGGAATAACTTAACAAAAAAAGAACATGAGGTTTACAGTTTTAAAAGTAAAAAAGTTGCACCATTTAACTAAAATATATGTAAGGGATTCGACTGGAATTCGAACTCGGCTCTCCGATTCTTCAGTCCGAGTCTCTATCCATTACTCTAGGCTAAAGTCTACGGACCCTTTGAAGGACGTCAGTTACGATTCGACCTGGAGATGGATGGATGGGCTTCGCCAGATCTACTTTGCCCAAAGACACGCTACGTATGAATAACTACCTCACCAACATTTTAACCCAGATGTTGGCATGCAACCGAGACCTGTGAAGGGAGTTGGTCAAGTGGTCAGTGACCACAAGTTTCTCTCTCGAGGAGGATCCGCCCTGTAATGTTTACAGGATTTTATTAAGAATCTGTCTTCATTGGACAGATTGTCGGGGACCACCCTCAACTGCTTTGTAGATTTTTTTTTCAAACTCTTCTACTCCAATAGCTTCATGTCACGCACCTCTCGCCTGTGGAACTCCCTTCCCTATTCCAGTTTCCCTGAGAGCTATAATCTCCAGCTATTCAAATGTAATGTCAATCGACATCTCCAGTTGCCTTGATCTATCCACTATCCTTCTCCTCATCCTTTCTTCTATCACTCCTATTTGATCTTGCTCCAAATTTTCTGTAACCCCTTGCGTCCTAGTGGCTTCTCGCCTTGCTTGGGGAGAAACGCTTAAAAAAAAATAAATAATAGAAACAGTTGATGATGATGATGATGATGATGATGATGATGATGATGATTTGTTGAGCTCTGCCAGTAAATCTAACCCTTCTACTGTCTTTTCCGTGAAACTTCAATTGTCGCTGGATAATCTGATCGCTTTCCACGGTTTTCAACACAGAAGTCTCTTTCTCTTAGACTGGCTGTCCATACTACTATTTAACCCATAGCTTGGTGGGGATGGATACATTCCTTTCCCAAAATGCGAATGCGAACGTAACAGACAAGATTCCGCTTCCTGTGCCGATATGCGTTACGCTACTTGCCTACGACACATTTTATCCGTGTCAAAAATTCTCCCGATGCTGAAATGCGACCTCTACACTACAGTACAGTACACTACAACTCCCACTAAAACATGCAAGAATCTTTCTTCTTTTTTTCACGTTCTTTTTGCAACATTTTTAGCTGTTTGCACTGAATCGACCCCAGAGCCTCGTTTTCATCGCAAACATATCTTATTAAGTACATTTACCGAAGCCCAAACTCGCATATTTCTAAGTAGAAGCAGACGATAACTATACGTTAAATTATGCTTTCACATCCACTCTTTTTTTTTTTTTAATCTTTGTCTATATATTTTTTTTCTATGTGCAGATGTCATTCACTGCGTACATTTGTGCTACGGTATAAATTCCTTGCTGGTTTTGCTGTTATTATTACTATTTATTATTATTATTATTATTATTATTATTATTATTATTATCATCATCATCATCATCTGGTTTTCTTTTCTTTTTTAATTTTTTTTTTTTGTTTTTTTTTTTTCTCCGATGGAATGAGGAGATTCTCCTTAAATGTCAAGTCAAGCATCAGCTCTTAAGCAAATTCTTTTAACGGCTCAATGCTTCCAAGTGCAATGGCTTGTCACTGATTCTATTTCACATTTTTTCTTTCAATTTCCAGGTCTTTGTGATAGCTTTTCAACAACAAATTAATAAATAAAAGAATTACATTTGATATCTCTTGTTTTTAATCTACCAGGTAACTGACTTTCTCTATTCAATAAATAATCTTCTCTCCCCCTCTCCCCTCTCCCTCATCTCTCTCTTTCTCTCTTTTCTAAAGGATCCACCCAGTAATGTTTACAGAATTTTGTTAAATCTGTCTTCATTGGACAGATTGTCGGGGACCACCCTCAACTGCTTTGTAGATTTTTTTTTTTCAAATAGAAACGCGTTACATGTTATTTTTGGTGTAACCAGAGAAGACATGTATTTTTTTTTTTATGAATATTTTCGGGACTCTGCTTATTGGGTGCGATTAACACGGTCGAAGTTTTGATGAGTTTTTCATCATTTTGGAGACTTGGCCGTTTGCAAGAGGAATGTTTTCTAAATTTCTTCTTCTTCTTCTTCTTCTTCTTCTTCTTCTTCTTCTTCTTCTTCTGCTTCTTCTTCTTCTTCTAGATGAGTGGCTTTATGTAGTTCTTTAATGTCGGAGATTCCCTCTGCGACAGATTTTGAAATCAAAACACAGAATCTTATTTTTTCGAGCTTTTGTCTCATCTACATTATGAACATCGTGGTGACATTATTATTATTATTATTATTATTATTATTATTATTATTATTGTTGTTGTTGTTGTTGTTTTTTTTTCTTCTTCTTCTTCTTATTGTTGTTTTTGTTTTTTCTTCTTCTTCTTCTTCTTCTTATTGTTGTTGTTTTTTTCTTCTTCTTCTTCTTCTTCTTCTTCTTCTTCTTCTTCTTCTTATTCTTATTATTATTATTATTATTATTATTTCTCATGTTTTTTGTTGTATACGCATTTTCTTCCGGGCCCCAACCAGCGATCTAAGGTTAGAAATGGCTTCGTGATTTTCCACTGATCATTTTTAGAAAAAGAAAAAAAAGAAAAAAAAAAGAAAAAAAAAAGCAGTAAAAAACTAAGATCACCCGCATTTTACATAGATAAAGCCCCTTCGTAATGTGTGGACTGTACTTGTGAGTAAAATTTGTTGTATTTCTTTAAGGCATGGGGCTACCAGGAATCCCTTCAATTAGTCTATCGGATACTTTTACAATCAATCCGAAGGTTCCAACTACAACTGGAATTGTTGATGTTCTCATTTGCCACATTTTTTTTAGATTTCCAATTCAATATCTTTGTAGCTTGATAGTTTTTTGAAGATCTTCAAAGATTCATTACAATCTGCAGGAACTGCCATGTCAATAAAATATCACATTCTGTGTTTGTGGTCTTTGATCTCGTTATCTGGGTGATTAGCTTTGATTATTATTATTATTATTATTATTATTATTATTATTATTATTATCATTTTTATTTTCTTTGATTTCTCGCGTTTACACATTTCTTTCCGGGTCCCGCCCAGGGACCTAAGGTGAGAAATGGCATCATAACCCTAACAAAAAAAAAAATTACATAGATAAAGCCCTTCGTAAAGTGTGGGCTGTACTTGTCAGAACAATTTTTTGTATCTCCTTGAGGCATGGACTTCCAGGAATCCCTTCAATTAGTCTACTGCAATCTTTTCCAACCAGTCCTAGGGCTCCAACTACAACAGGGATTGTTGATGTTCCCATATGCTACATTTTTGAGATTTCTATTTCAAGGTCCTTGTATTTTGACAGCTTTTTGAATAACTTCAAAGATACATTGCAGTCAGCAGGGACTGCCATATCAATAAGGAGGCACTGTTTTTGTTTGTGGTTTTTAATAACAATATCATTCGTTCTTCTTCACGTCGAATCTATTCTGCATTTGGGTTATATTCCTTTGAGCTGCTCCAAATATTTTCTCAAAATGTCTGTGCATTATCAATCGGTGGTGGCTTTTCGACATGTATAGGTTTTTTTTTCCAATTTCCATGTAAAATTTCTTAAGGTCCGTTCGGAATATTTTATTTTGGCGATAGCACCTACAACGTTTTTCATATCGTCTTGTTCTCTGTGCCTTTAGCTGAAGTTTCTGCTTCAGCATTTCCTTGATTGATGGAATATCAATTAGAGATTTAATGTTATATTTCCGCTTGATCTTTTTGCACTTACGTGTGGAAATATCAGGGTTTCTGGTTAGCTCCTCTAATATAGAAAGCTCACATCTGATTTGTTTTATTTCTCGTACCAGTTTTGTTTTCCAAGCTGGTTTCCCTATGTCTGTTAATTTTATTTATTGTCTTGACCCCAAGCTTCCGAGTCGCTGCTACAACTGTTGCGTATTTGACGTTGTTAACTTCTGTGATATTTCTCGGTGGTTTATCTGTTAAGAGTGTTTCCTGAGCAGCGTTGTATATTTTATCGATGTGCTTGTTGGAATTCATCATATGGATTTTGGAGAGCTGGTCTCTGTCTGACAATTCTATGAAAGTTACTCAGCTTCGTGGTTTTCAAGGCATTCTAACTTATTGTCACTGAAGATGACTCCAGGTGCATTGTCTGGAGAATTGCAGGTTGTGTTTAAGGTAGAGTCTTTGATTTTATTTCCTGGGAGATTATTTCGTATTTCATTTGCTTTGGTTTTTACTCTGTCACATTCCTTATTTCTACATTCATCTCATTAGAATTTGAGTGATGGGTCATAGTATTTTGTCTTATATCTAATTTTATCTTATCTGTTTCTGCCTTTGAGAGTCTGTTGTTTCGCATGATGTCTCTACGGACATTGGCAAGCATGTTTGGATTGAAGTTAGGTCTTATATCATTTCCCACCATACTTCTCCATATTTGGTATGTTTGATTGGTGGTGTTCTTTGCTGGGTTTTCAAGTGCTGTGAAGAAGGATGTCATGATTTGTCGATACTCTTCGCGGGTTTGGTCTCTTGGTTTGTGAAAGAGTTTGTTCCAGTGACAGATTTTTCGTTCTCAGACTGGTTCCTCTCTGAGGGACTCGGCCCTTGTTGTCCCGGGTGACGGCCGATCCGGTATAAAATTTTATTTGTATTCATTGAAATTGGTAGAGATATGCGTTTTAACCTTGACCGCCAAGGGGTAATTATATTCAGGTTACCAGCTTTAGGACGATACTCGAAGAAGATCCAAGAGCACGCCCAACCAATGAGATTGGTTACAATGTGGATTTATTAATATATCGAAGGTGGAATAGTTCATAATAGTATTTGGCATTCAGTGGGTTAGACTATACTAAGTTTTAACTTAGTATATGTTGGAGTGACCACTCCAAGGGGGAATATCAGATCTTAGTATATAGAGTTTAAAAGAAAAAAGGAAAAAGAAAAGGGAACTGAAAAGGAAAGAATTAACTTCAGTCAAAAGGATTTAGAATCATATCAAAATACAGGAAAAGTATGATTGAAAAATGGTACAACATTTACCATTTCTTACATGTTCGGAGCATGGCACAAGTGACTTTCCACAAATGTTAAACTTTCCGTCGCCAGCGACAGATACTTATCAAATTTTATGGGGTAAGCTGGACTTATACTACAGTTTGGTAGGGGGGGATATCAAAGAATTCCTTAAATAAAATGGTAGAAGCAAGGGAATAAAAGTTATACATTTCCGGTCATCTCTCAACCTATTAGCCACTAAAAGATATATTTTTAAATTTTCACTCAGAGAGACGAGAGTCAAAGTGCAGAACATCGTAGGAAAATTACACCTGTTTATTATTATTATTATTATTATTATTATTATTATTATTATTATTATTATTATTATTATATCTTATGCACGGGTTTCCGTGTTCAACCGAAGATTTTACATTGTGGATGTTCTGTTGTGCATCAAGTCGGACAACCTCAGACGGAGAATATCTTTCGCAGTATATTTGCGGTGCCAAGCAACGCGGACTCTAGAAGCGATGAGATACTAAGTTTTAATCCGATTTTCTTAACGTAGGACTTCAGGGTCAATGATAATTGGAACAATATTAATCCGAACGTCGAACAGTCTGGTAACTTATATCCCGAGGTCGATCTGTTAACAATAATCTTAATATTAATAATTATTATTACTTGTGCAAAATTAACAACATCGTCGTCACCATCCAAACTGAAGCATTTAGGGCGTGTCTCTCACTCACATCGTATCTACGTATCATTTTTGAGTTCATATTCGCTAGAATATGATTCGGAATTAATTTTCTGCCGTCTTCAGTTTATACTTGGAGAAGAGAATCCAAGGAATATTTGCATTGCTTTCATTTGTTTGTTTTTTTTTTTTTGTTTTTTTTTTGTTTTTTATTTTGTATCCTGCATCATTAATCATAAGATTTGGGGGTTTTAATTCTCTGTCGAGATTTCACAAACTCAAATTGAGCAGTTTTCAAAAATATATAATTACAAATTGCCATAAATGTATATAAATAACACGTGGCTCCTTTTAGTTTTAATATGGCAAAACCGAAGTAGGAATGAAAGAAGGAAAAGTGTTGAGAAAACATCAGTATATTCAGGGATAGTTCTATCTATCTATCTATCTATCTATCTATCTATCTATCTATCTATCTATCTATCTATCTATCAATTCAGATTCATCTATGATCGTACCAATCTATCACTGTGTATTCATCTCTCTGTATATCAGTATATAAGTTTTTTCACATCTATCTTTCTTTCTTTCTTTCTATCTATCTATCTATCTATCTATCTATCTATCTATCTATCTATCTAAACCTGTTCATATCTATCTATCTATCTATCTATCTATCTATCTATCTATCCTGTTCATATCTATCTATCCTATTCTATCTATCTATCTATCTATCTATCTATCTATCTATCTATCTATCTATCTAAACCTGTTCATATCTATCTATCTATCTATCTATCTATCTATCTCAGCCTGTTCATATCTATCTATCTATCTATCTATCTATCTATCTATCTATCTATCTATCTATCTATCTATCTCACTTTGTTCCTTTTTCATTGTTTTCTTTCTTAATCTATCTAATTCTATTCCTCTCATTCTATATCTATCTATCTATCTATATCTATCTATCTATCTATCTATCTATCTATCTATCTATCTATCTAATTCTATTCCTCTCATTCTATTAATGTCTATCTAATTCTATTCCTCTCATTCTCTTCATATCTATCTATCTATCTATCTATCTATCTATCTATCTATCTATCTAATTCTATTCCTCTCATTCTATTAACTTCTATCTAATTCTATTCCTCTCATTCTATTCATATCTATCTATCTATCTATCTATCTATCTATCTATCTATCTATCTATCTATCTATCTATCTCAGCCTGTTCATCTATCTATCTATCTATCTATCTATCTATCTATCTATCTGTTTAGATCCATCAATGAACATACATATATATCACTGTCTATTCACATTGATGGGAGTTTCCTTCCTAACCTTTCATTTAACGTAGTGTGGAAAGTCGACAGCTTGATTATATTATTATCTTCCTTTCTAGTTACATGTACTATCCATTTTCGTTGTTGTTGCTGTTAGAAGTCTTCAA